TTCTTCTTTTCATATTTTATTACATCTTTGTGATTTATTATTTTATTCATTCTCATTCATTTTATTATATTTTCTTTTATCATTTATTCATTTAATCATTGTTTATTGTTTATTGTGTAATTTATTGGATTATTTGTTATTATTAAATATGACTAATTGAATATTGAATTAAAATAACAATTCATTTTTCATTCATTAATATTATCAATAATTAATATAATGAATATCATATTATTCATTTCATAATTATTCAAAAGATAAATTCACATAAATTAAATACAATTTAATAAAATAGATATAAATCATCACAAAATGATTGAAACATGTTAATATTCACATTAAAATGTTTATTTTCAATTAGAAAAGAGTTTCATTTGTATTATTCTTTTTCATTAATTCTTTATATTTGTTTTGATTCTTCTTATCATTTTATGACTTTTCTCTTTTTATTTTATTTTATTATTATTATATTATTACTATATTTATTACTATTTGATTATGACTTTAATTATTGAATAAATATGAAACATGTCAAAAGTCATTATTGAATATTCTACACTCTCTCGTTTCATATTTAAGTCATTTACTTTTATTTTTAAAGTGATTTCATTGTGTAAGTCACAACAAAGAGTAATTTGTTTAATGAAATCCCTCCAGAAGCACATAAGAGTATCTAGAAGATGGTGAATAGAAAATACCTATCTTCTTAAAGGCATTTGATGATTATTAGAATATTATATTTGGTTGTACTTTTATAAAGGTCAGCTATTCAGTTGGTTCTTCTTGTTATGGTATGGAATGAATAGCTTATTTATACCATAAGACGAAGTATCAACGATAGACAAAAACCGATGTAGATTTATTTCCAAATTAAATTTAACAAAATTGTCTGAAGTTATTGAGAAGAAGATGATGAGAAATGGAGAAATGATAAGTTCAAATAGAACATTTATCCCAAGGTGTCAGTTCGTCAAAAAGAATAAAAGAGAGAAAATAAGGGATAATTGAAAAGAAATAAAATAAATGTTTTAAAATGGTTAATGTTTTTAACAAAATAAAAGATAAAATAAACATTCAAAGAAATAATGATAAAATAATGATAATTAACAAATGAATATAGAATATTCACATTTCAAATAATATCATTTCATTCATATTAAAATAAATAAAAAGTACAATAAGAATGATTAATTATTATTTTATTCATTTCTATCTTCTTTTTCTTTATTTTCTTATTTATTTTTCATTGAATTATCTCATTTGTTCTTTGTTATTTATTTTATTTTCATTATCTTTCTTTGTTTTATCTTTGTTATTTATTTTATTATTTATTCTTTCTATTGTTGAATTAATTACATTTATTCATTTTATTATTCTTTTATTTCTTCTTCATTACATTATTCTCGTATTTTATGTTTATTCATTTATTTCTTCATTTTCAGATTAATATTTTCATTCTTTAATATTTCTTTATTAATTCTTATGTTATTTGTTTATTTTATTTGAATAGTATTTGTTTTATGTATTGTTTATTTTCATTTATTATTTCTTTGTTTATTTATTTTCAATATTTCATTTTGCTTGTTTATTTGTATGTTTATTTTATATTCTTTTCTTATTTTCATTCTCTTTCTTATTCTTTATATTATTTTATTTGAATATAATCTATATTATTATTCTTTTTATATTCTTTATTAATTTATATTGTTGTTTGTTTATTATTTTTCATTGATTCTTTTATTTTATTTCATGTATTTTCAAATACTATTTTAATTAGATATTTATCATTTTGTTATTATTTATTCATATTATACTTTATTTTCATTATTATTATTCATATTTCACTTTATTTGTTTGTATTTTATTATTATTTTCTTCATATTTATTTCGTTGAAATATTCATAATTACATTGTTAATTAAATTTTCTTATTGTATAATATAATATTATATTGTTATGTTTTTATTCTGTTATTTTCTCTATTTTCATTCTTATTCTTCTTTTATTCTGTATTGTAATTATTCATTCGTTATTTCTTCTTCTTTTTTCTTTATCTTATTTGTTATTTTATTATTTGTTAGATGTTATTTGTTATTAATTTCTATTATATTTGAAATTATCTAAATTTTATTAATTTTTAACAGTTATTTGCAATTATTATTCATTCTTATTCATTGTATTCTATTTCTTCTGTTAGTATTGTATTTTATGTTTCTTATTTTATGTTTTTATTTTATTATCATTTATCATTCTTTGATCATACATTTCTTATTGTTTTATATTATTTCTTATTATATTCTTTTGTTTTATTCATTTTCTATTTATTTGTAAATCATTATTTCTTCTTTATGTTTATATTTGAAATTTATTCTATTATGTCATTTTCAATATTCTTATTCATATCATTGTTATTTCTATTTGTTCTTATTTGTTGTTTCTTTTCTATTTCTTATTTCTTGTTCTATCTATTATGAAAATGATAATATTCTATTCTGTGTTGTTATTATATTCTTCTTGTATTCTTCTTGTTTATATTATCTGTTGTATTTTCACCTTTGTTATTTCATTACTATTAATTATTGTTTATTTTGTTATTTGTTTTATTTTTAACTTTCATTTGTTTGTGTTTCATACATCATTATTATCATTTATTATATTTCTATTCTCTATTTTTTCATTATTTGTAGTTTAAATAACAAATAAAATGAAATGTAGTAATAAATTGACATTGAATGAAATGATAAAAAAATAACAAATAAAATAATGAAGCATATTAATATAAAAAGAAATGAATATAAACAATATAATTAATGAAAGAAATAATATTTGTATGAATTAACAAATCAATAATTACATCAAATAATAAATGAAATATTGTATTATTTGTAATTATAAAATAACAAGAAATGAACATATAATAATAAATTATAATGTAAATAAGAAAATATGAATTAAACATGAATTAATAAATGAATATTCCAATGATGAAAATAACAAATAGAAAATATAAAAAAAAATATAATGAAATAATAGAGAATTAAAATGAAACTAAACAACACAAATGAAAGTTGTAAAAACAAAAGAAGAATAAAAATAAAGAAATGTTCAATGAAATGAAACAATAAATAATCAATAAAAGTGAATATTTAATGAAATACAATATATTTATATAGAGGATAAAATAAAGAAGAATAAATGATATGACAAATTGATAGTTATAAAAGATAAAATGATAAAAATAATATTTATTACTACAGTAGAAATGGATAACATTCACTAAAATAACATAAGACAAATTAATAGAATAAATTAAATTACAATATAATTCCAATAAACAAAAGAATGAATAGTAAATACAATCAAAGAATAAGATATTATAATTGCATTTTTAAATAATGATAAAAGATAAAATGAATAATAACATGAAAAACATAATGAAATAATATAGATACAATATAGGTGAATATAAAATATAGAAATACTTCATGAACATGATTCTGAAGAGAATGAAAATAATAATCTCAAATAAATAACAAGAAATAGAAAAATCAATATCTACTGGTACTAAATTTATTAATTTTATATATTCTGTGGTGATTCTAGTAATGAATCTCTTTTGTTCGACAAATTAATTGAAAAACAATATAAACAACTTCAAAATAAAAATTTGATATAAAAGAAATTATAAAATTTAAATAAAATAATTGAACTAAAGAAGAGGAGAATATTTTGTATATCGACAAATACTTGTTGGTTGAACCATAAATCCATTCTTTGTTTTTTTCAAATTGATGATACATTTTTTTCTTCTTGGAATATCTTGATTCTTATGAAGTACTCTAAACTTAGTTGACTTTACCATAGAATCAAATAATTTACTATCACTCCATGGAGTTTCACACCATTCATTAAATGATATTTCAAATGCACTATTAACATATGTTGAATCTTCATAAATAAGATCACTCCATTTAATTCTATTTCTACGTGTTTCTTCAGTAGCTTTACCAATATTTAAATACAATACACCAACATCTTGAATGTCAGCACTTAATACTTTTTCAAAAATATTTTGGAAACTACCAAAATAAGGAATACATGGATTTCCTAATTCTTTCATTGCAGTAATTAAATTAGGATATGATCCATCTTTTGGGTCAGTCAATTCATTAACCCAATTTCTAAGTTTAGTCATATCATTACGAAGTATTGGTTTCTCGAATTTATTTAGTCTAAAAGAAGAAAACCCAATAGAAAGTCCCAAAGTTGCAAGGAGATTATGTCGTAACCAATACAATTGTGAAATTATTTCAATGAAATATTCATGAAATTCTTTATTTAATAATGGGTTTTGAACGCTTTCATATAATGATTGAGAGACCCAATATGCCAAAATATCAACTTTCTTTTTTAAATCAGTTGCTCCAATTCCAGCTCTTCTCATTTGTTTTGAATAAAAAATTGCACGAGGTGGACATTTAGTAAAAATACCAACATGTGCTTCAGTTAATTTTTGTGCAACAAATCTAGGATTTAATAATATATAAAAATATTGTGGTGGATATCTCCAAATACATCTTTTAAAGATAGGTAATTCATATTCTTCTTTCATTGAAAGAACTAAAGAAGTAGTTGAATTACTACGTTTATGTATTTTTTCGATATTAATAAAAATTTTATACATCATATTCATAAATTTACTTTCAAATGCTCTTGGAACTTTACGCCAATGTTCTAAAAGAAATCCAACACTTAATAAACGTTTATTATCTTCTTTTATTAAATGAATTAATGCACCAAAAAAATCTTCTTTAGTTAAACCATAAAGTAAAGGTAACCAAGAATAAGACCTTGAATAATATTCTGGATTAGAACAATAACCACAATAATAAATATGTGCAATTTTAGACATTTTAATTGAATAATCATCATAACTCTTTTGATATTTAGACATTCCATTTAGAATAAGTTTTCCTTCTAAAGTTTTTTTACAAGTTTCTAATGAATTTTTCCAATCAGAAGGTTTTTCAATACAAATTGTATTAAGAATTTTATATTGAGAAATAATATCTTCAATAAGAATTGTATTTGAATGTGTTGATTTAGTTAAACATTCTGATTGGACTCTATTAAATTTTGGTTTAAAAAATTCTTTTTGAGGAGTTAAACTAGTTGATGGAATAAAATTAATAGAAGAATTAATAACTGAAGTTGTTGGATGAGTTGGAACAGATAAATTATTATTTTTTCTATGTTGAAGTGGAAAATTAAATTGAAGAGAAGTTAATGAGTCTAAAACATTTTCTATATGAATTAATGGTATAATTAATGACTTTAATCCAAGAAGACTTAGTGATAAAGAATAACAATTATTCCAATTATGATATGTATAACAATCCATAATTATTTCTATAAAATGAATTAGATCTTCTAACATACAAATAATTAAATAATTTAATCTTATTATAATTTCAACACTATTTGATGTATTTTCATTATAAAAATAATTTACATATTTTTCAATTAATCCAACTAATTGAATACTTTCTTCAAAAATATAATTTTCTTTATTTAATTGATTTGGTGTTGTTTCAAATATTTTTAATAATATTTCAATAATATCATAAATTTTTCCTCCTTGTGTATTTTCTATAATTAATTCTACTATATTTGCTTCATTAATTGTTCTTGAATGTTGTGATGTAATTGCTCTTCTTCCTGGTATTCCACTAACTATTCCTCGATGTTGAGAAACTACTGTTTCAAAACAATTATTTGGTGTAAAGCAAGTTGTCATATTAGACACAAGAACTATTAAATCTTATCTTTTTAATTATAAAAAAATGGTTTACTAATTTAATTAAACACAATAAAAAAAAAAATATGTTTATATCTAAAAATTTAAAGATAAACTATTTTTTATTATATTTTATTATTGTTTTATAATTCTCTTTTTCTGTTTACGAAATGTATTTTTTTTTAATATTAAAAAATAAAATAATAATTATTATAATTAATTTAATTAATTATTATAATAAATAACTTATCTTTGAATTTTTTGAATATTACATTTAAATATTTTTCTTTTTTAAATTTTTTAATTTCAAAAATTTTTCAAGAGTATTTTATTTATAGTTTCCTTTACGATTTTTATTCTATTTTTATCTCTTTTTTTTTAAATTTAGAATTTTCTAAATTTATTTTTATAATTTTCAATATTTTTTTAAGTTATAATTAATAATAAAATTTATTATAATTAAACTATAAAAAATATATACAAATAAAAAATTGAATTTGTTAAACAAAACAATCATTGAAGAGGACGTTCCATAACCATTCTATTTTCATCTCCTTTTTTAGTAAAATTTAAGCTACAAGGAGTACAATAATATTCATCAGGATTAACTCCTTTTTTCCAATCACTACTTTTCTTCCCACAAATACAACAAGTTTTTTCTTGAAGAGCAGCAATCCTAGCAGACCGTTCTTTTTCCAAAGCTTCATATTGAGCTTGTTGTTGTTGTTTAATTTTTGCTTCTAATTGAAGAATATGATCAGCACTATAATTGCTGAATGCTTGTTTTTGGAATTCATTAAATATATCCATTAATCTTTTTCTAAATGAAACTAATTCTTCATGTGTTAAATCTCTTGAATATAAAATTGTTAATATTTCTAATGATAATGTTTTTATTTTGGTTGGAAATTGTGGATTATCTTCAGCCATGCCTCTCGATATTTACTAGATGATTTTGATTTTAGAGTGCTTTTATACGACAACTCATAAAAATTTTCCTTTTTTTACTTTTTTTTCTTCTATTAATAAAACTATTCTTTTTTTATATTTTTTACTTTTTTTATAGTTTAAAAAAACTATAAAAAATTAATTCTTCACTTTTTTTATAAAAAAAAAAAAGGGTTTTGTTTCAAAATAAGAAAACAAAAACTAAAACAAAAAGAAAAGTTATAGATGAGATTTTTTTTATTTATCATTTTTGTTATATTTCAGAGAGGAAGAGAGAAAATATAATAGTTAAAGTCATAAATAAAGAAAATAATTGATGACTCAATTAAATAATTTATTGATAGAAAAGATTGAGTTTTAACTAGATATATAGTTTAACAATACTATTAAAATTTAAAGAGAATAAAAAACAATTTATGTTAGTAACATTTTAATTTTAACTAGTATTTGTTAATTGTAAAAGAAGTATTAATGATACAGAAAGTACGTCCTATGAATTACAATGAATGGCCATTAATTAGTATGTGGATATCTGTAAGTGACTTATTTGAAGATATTGATATTAACAAATTTAAAAGAAATTTACCTCATGTACTTAAACAATATACTCCATTTAAACTTTTTGCAAAACCAGAAAAGGTTGATATAAATGATCAAATAGATATTAAAAAAACTCCATTTGGTTCAAAAGATGCTAATGAACAATATTGGTGGTATAAAGCAAATGATGAATGGTTAATTCAAAATGAAAAAGAATATTTAAAGGAAGTTCCTTTTGAAGATAAAAGAGAAATTCGTTGTTCAAATAAGAACCTTATGACAACATCAGGTCTTTTATATTATATTGAATGGAGTCAAAAAGGAAATCTATTTAGAATAGAACTTTTTACTTCACATTCTCTTTGTGATGGTAGAACAATATTTAATTGTTTTGATGTTATTAGAAGTGTAATTACTGAAGAGAAATGTACTTTTGAAGATGACCCACTTCTTGATTATGATGTTACTTCATATTATTCATTAACACAAGAACAATTAAATTCTATACCAGAGGCATGGCATTTAGAAGAAGGTAGATGGTATCCAGACACTGGATTTGATGATAATGAAAATATATGTCAAACAGTATCATATTGTTATAATAATGTTGATAAATTTTGTCACAAATATAAAGTTGGTGTTCAATCCATTATCAATACTTGTCAAACACGTGCTTTTAAAAAATTTTATAATTTACCTGATAATACTGAAATAATTATTTGGTGTCCTACTGATACTAGACATTCTTCATTTGCAAATGATCCAATTAAAAGAAGACATTTTTATGTAAATAATGGTGGTAGTTTTATTAGAACAAAAGGATATGGTGATAAGTTAAAAGATATTATTGAAGGAGATAAAGCAGTAAAAGAATATACAAAAAGATATGATTGTTGTTTAAATGTAATTAATCAAGCAAAAGGATTATTAGACCGTCTTCCTTCAGTCTTTAATAAATCTCTTATTGTATCTAATATTGGATCTATCAGAGAATTTGCTCATCCAGAATTTGCTCTTTATTACCTTTTTAATAAAGATACATATTGTATTAATATGTATTCATTCCATAATGATGAAACAATTTATTTCGTATATGCTAGACCAAGAAAAATAAATTCAAAATTATTAGACTTAATGTTAAATGAGCTTAATAACATTATGAAATTTATTAACTCAATGGTTGATTGATGAATATTTATTATTTTTTTTCTTATTAAATTAAACCTTTCAGTTATAAAGGTAATTTGAAAATTAATCTAATTAAATAGACTTTTAACTTAAAATAATCAAAAGATATTTAATGAATTTTAAATAGTAAAAAGTACTTCCTTTAGTAGAATAAAATTGATGAAGAATATCAAAAAAAAAAATAAATAAATAACACAATTAATAAATTTATTTAGGATTTGTTTTTAAGAAAGAATTAATTGCTTCAGCAACATTTCTTTCACTAAGAAAGTTTTTTTGTGAAGGAAGAGGAGTAGTAAAATCTTCTAATGGAACAGGAACACCATTCCATATATATCCTTTAAGTGGGTCTATTTTCACAGAATCTTGAATTCGTTCATAGAAATCAATAACACTTGCCATAATATTATCGATACTATTGCAAATTACACCACTTAACGTTGGAGCAGGATAAATGTTAGTTTCACAAATAAAAAATGCATACTAATATAAAGTAAATAATAAACTATATAAATAAGTGATATTAAATATTAATTAAACAAACTTTAATGGTTTCTTTCATTTCTTGGTTTTCAACTCTAACAATTAAATATATACTTTGTTTACCTTCTCGTTTATATTCAAATACTTTAAATGGCTGAATTTTTTCTAATGAATATTCTTCAGGTGAAAGACGAATATCACCACCAGTTTGAGCAAAAAAATTAGTTTCACTAAAATAGAGAAATGCAGTTTCTTTATCAGGAAGTCCATTAGTAGGATAAAAGTCAGAAGGACTTTCAAACATAGTAAATTGAGGTTCTTCTCTTTGCATTCAACAAAATGAAAAATGAAGTTTTTTTTTAAACAAAACAAACCTTAGGGAATTAAGAAAAAAATGTTATTAAAAGAATAAAATTAAAATTAACTCAAGTAAATTAAGACAATCATTTTGTATGACCATCAATACTCTCTCGAATATCTTTTAAGAATTTCTTTAAATTACCTGCTTTAGCAGGAATTTGTTCTAAACTATCAGTAATATATTTACTAACATCTTTATATTTAGAATCAAAAGTAATACCAGTATCAACAATACCACGAATTAAAGTATTCATAACTAATGCAATTTTTAATGCATACTTTTGTTCTGAATGTTCAACAATTACTTTCATCCATTCTTCAATATGTTTATTTAACATTTCAGCAATTTCTCCATAATTTGTTTTATTATTAGCTTTCTTTAATAAGAAATAACTAAAGTCTAATGCTACAATTCTTAAATACATATTTGATGTTTTCATAGCTCCAATAACACATACTTTAATAACATCAGTTCCTTGAAGTAATTCTGATCTTTTCATATTAACAACAACAGCCTTAAATGGTAAACATCGTTTCTTATTAAATTCTCTTTCAATTTGTGAAATGAAATACTTTTTAACTTCACCTGCAAGTAAAGCATATCCTTTTTCTACATATTTAATATAAAATCCTAATGCTCTTTGAGCAATAAGAGAAGTTTTTTGTTTAATAAGTAATTCACTAAAAATAATAAATTGTTCTTTCATATATTCATCAGTAATTTCTTTAGTAATTGGAGCGTGTTTACTAATTCCTTCACAAATTTTACATAATCTTTCATAAATTAATGAAAATCTTGATTTATTATAAAGATTACCTGCACCTTCAATAAGAAGTGGAATAAACTCAATAAATTCTTTATTATTACACTCTGCTTTACAAAATGTTTCAAGTAAATCACAAACCCTAAATTGGAATTGGACTTGTCGTTGTTCTTTTGTTTCTTTTTTCTTTTTCTCCATTTCTTTCATCTTTTTATGAATTAAAATTTCTTCTTGTGCATCTTCATTTTCAAGTAAATCAAATACATCAATTTCTTTCTCTTCAAGGTCTTCATTTTTATTTTTTTCTTTTGGTTCTTCATTTTTATTATCTTTTTCATCATCTTCTTCAATAACTAAATTTTCTTCACAATTAATTACTGCATCAATAACGTTTTTAATACATTTTCCAATAGTCTTAAGTAATTCCTTCCATACTAAATTAACTAATCCTCTTATTTGACTTTCTGTTCTTCCTAATAATCCAATTAATACATCAATTAATACTTCTTTAGCTTCTTTATCATTTTCATTAGCTGCTAATGAAGATAATGCTTTCATAGTATCATTTAATACTTCAATACTTTCTTCATTTTCATTATCAATATCCAAAACAAGGAAGTATAATAATAATTGGAACACTGGTTTCTTTTCATTTTTTTTAATAGCTTTTTCAAAATCTTTTGGTATTTTATTGTCTTCTTGTTGTTTTTTAAATTCATATAATACAGTAAAATTACTTAACATTTCTGCTATATAATCTTTATTATGTGTTGTCATAGATAATTGAAGATATCTTTGAGTAGCACTTTCATTTTTAATTAATTTGTGAAGATATTCATGAGGATATTTATGTGCAATAGCATATAATAAAGTTAATATCTTATCATGTGTTTCTTTATTGATGTTAGGAGCTAATGCAATGTAAACTATCATTTCAAGTAGCCAAGTAATATTAGCTTTTTTGTCGAAAAGAGTAATAATTAACTGAATAAATTTATCACTTTCTTCTGGTTCAAGAAGTTTAGATAAACGAGATATAGTTTTAACACCAGCTATTTGATCAAAATAAATACTTCCTCCATCTCCAATAAGATTTTTAATTATATCAAATGCATAATTAGTACTTTGTCCAATAACTGTTAATAAATGTGCTACAACTTTCTTTAATGGATGTCTTCTAACTAATGAAATTGCAAGTAACAATTTAACAAATTTGGGTTGTAAAACAATATTAATATCTTCTTGATTAAAGTCTTTAAAACATTGACTTAATGCCATAAAAATTGAGTAACAAATACGTTCTCCTTTACTCATTGGAAGTAGAACTTCTTCCATTAATTTTTTAAATTGTTTTTCTTTACGGGAATATTGAATTAAATAATGTAATAATGGTACTTGAGAAGTACCACTTGTCTCACATGCTGTTTTAAGTGCTAAATGAATAGCATTAATACCATCTTCACTAAATAATCCTTTTTCAAAACATGATGGAATAGTAATTTTAATTTCAAGAGCACTTTGAAGACATACAAGACTAACATCTATTGGAAGAATAGACTCTTTAGTCACTTGTTTCATATGTTCATTTATAGAAGCAATAATAAGACTTTTAATATTTCCTTTTGAATTTTGAATTAATAAAATAAGTGCTTCAGTTGTTACTTCACAAAGATATGACTTCTTATTAGCAAGGAAAAATAAAGTTTTCATTATATATTCTACAGTTTCTGTTTCATTAACTCGTTGTGCTTTAATTAAAGCCAAACAAGTACATAATCTTCCAAAGAGTACATCTCTTAATGCTTGACGAGCATTACCAGTAGTAGTAAATGTGGATGTAGCAATATCTACAACAGAACTCTCTTGGATAGAGGGGAATGTTTGAAGAAGTAAAATTAAACATAATAAATTTCCATCACGAGCACAGTCGTGTGATGAACCTAAACTCTTAATTAATCTATTCAATGAATAAACCATAACTTCACTATGTTCACCATTTTTAATTTCACTTTCTGCTTTTTTAAGAATGGTGATAATTGATTGAGCAGCACTAATTCGAATTTGTGGATCAAGAGAAGCAAGTTCAATAAAATAGTCAGATGTTGTGGACATATCAATAATTCAATCTAGTTAGATTTAAAGATAACCACATGTTAGGGTTAGTTAAATAACACAATAATAAAATAAATGTTATAAAAAAATAAATATTTTTATAAAAAAAAAACAAAAAATAGAAATAAAAGAAGAGATGAAGGGGTTTTAATTATGTTTTTTGAGAAGAGAGAACATGATTAGGGATTTGAACTGCTTTTTCTTAATGAGCGGTGTAAAAAGGACGAGAGGCATAAGAAAAGGAAAAAAGAAGATTGCTGCTCTTGAAATAAATCAAACGACAATAGATTGTTTTTTTGGCTCAAAAAGAAAAAAGAGAAAAAGTCGAGAGATAATAAATGTTGATAATGAAAAAGAGAAAATAAGAAGAACAGAAGATGTGTTAATTGGAAATTGGATATTAAAAAAGAAAAAAGAAGCACAAAATGGAGAAAGAATAAAAAAGAGATGTTGTGTATTATTAGAATATATTTCATTTGAATTAAAAAATATTTGTGGAGAATTAAATGTATTATGGAAAGAAACAACAATTGAAGAATTATGTCAAGAGACACAACGTGGACAATCAAAAGATGATCCAATTGATTTAGAAGAAATACAAATTACAGTTTATGAATTTGATATTGAAACAAAACAACAATTAAAAATGTTAACAACACAATTAAAATATCTAAGTCAAATATTTGTTATTAGAATGAATGAATTATTAATAACAGATATGACATTATTAATTTCAGAATGTGAGTTATTTATTCCAATGAAAGATGGAATTGAATATATGATGTTTAAACTTAACTCATCTATTAAAAAAGATAAAATAAATTTAAATAAACCTCAAATTAAAAAAATATTTGATATCTTTTCATTTATTAAAGAACCAATTTTTTATATAATTCAATGTTTATATCTTATTCAAAATGGATTATGTCAATTCTGTCTTGACTCAGATATTATTCAACCTTTTCAATTAATTAAACGCTTTTATTCTAAAACTGCAAATGAACAAGAAATGTTAATATATTCTATTGGTAATGATGAACTTAAAGATTTGGTTTATTGGTATTGTTTATTTAATGAACCTCTTGACCGTCTTCATTATATTTATACAAATTTTTGTTATTCTGATATCTTTGATTCTATTAAACCAAGTTATAGAACAGATCTTATTAATGAATTAAAGGCAATGCATTCTATTATTCTTCCTATTTATTGTTCTTCTAATTCAGTAAAGAAATTACATTATATTTCTTCTAAACAATCCCAATTTAAAATGAATATTGATATTAAAGAAAAAATTAATAACATTTTACCTTCTTCCTCTAAAACATTTGTTTCAAGGAATCAGTTTATAGAAAATGTATTTCCTTTTATTCTTCAGATATTAATAAATTGTCAAATTAACTTTTCATCAAAAAGTGATAAGTTTAGATTTAAACAACAATTTTTGGATCTTAAGGTTGATGGAAAGTCTTGGAGATTGCTCATTCAAAATAGTCCTTTTCAGTCAGTTGTTAACCAACTTACAGAAACTCGAAAAAAATTTATATTATCTTTTTTTGATTATTAATGTAATTGAATATGAGATTTCTTGTTTTGGGATTTAATTTCTCTTTTTTATTTATAAATGGTAGTCTCTGTAATTATTTTATTTTTAAAGTCCACTTGACAATCAAATGTCTATTTTCTTTTTAAAAAAAGAATATAAATAAAAAAATCAAAAGATAAGATTATAGTATTTAAACCATTTTAATATAATATCTTCTCTACTCACAAAAAAAAGGTAAAATAAATCCAAAAAAAGATACAGCTAAGTTCAATGAGCAAAGAATCATTGGAAAAAGCTATTAAAGTAAATTGTACTACTACGTTATTCTTTGCTCGTATGGGAAGTATTAAAAAAGAAGAACTTAAACAATACTGCGAACAATTCGGTCCTGTGAAGGATATTTCAATGATGGTTGATACAGAAACACAAAGACCTAAAGGATGTGGATTTGTAAAGTTCATGACTCATGAAGATGCCAAATTATGTGTTGAAGAAGCTCCTAAAAGAAATAGAAATGACCCACATAAAAGAAATTGGGTAATTGAATGGGCTAAATCATCTCAAATTAAAGAAGGAGATCTTGACAAAATGACAATTTACATTTCAAATCTTAACCAACAAAACGATAATGAAGATATGATCAGACAAAAGTTTAGTGTTTATGGAAATATTGAGAAAGTTACTACTATTGAAAATTCTAAAGGAATGTTTGCTTTTGTGAAATATGAACAAATGGAAAGTGCAATTGAAGCAATTAACAAGGAAAATGGAAAAGAGTGGTGTGGGAATTTAATTGTAGTTGAATTCTCTGAAACTATCGAATCAAAAAGAAATAGAAGACAAAAGGCTACATTAAAGAAACATTGTCAAAGTTCTACTCTTCTTCCTCATACATCTCAGAACCAATCATACGTTCAAATTACATCTCCAAAACAAAAACATATTCCCTCAGAACCAGTTCATCGTACATCAAAGTCATACACAAATTCTCTTCCTCCTCAACAACTTGACCTTTTATTTTCTACTCCTACATCTGCACGTCATATCTCACAATCATCATCTCCAACAACTGAGATGTTTAGTACTCATCACTACAATTTGTTTCATCAATTCAATCATGTTTCTCCATTTGATGCACTCACTCCAGACAATGATAAAGAAACAAGTGATTTACCTATATTTAGAGAGTTAGTATCACCAGCCTCTGAAAAAAAGAAATAGTTTTTCAATTCCTCTTTATTTAATTATTGTATTGTTCAATACTTTATCAATTCACTCTTTTTTTATTTTTAGGTTTTATTTAAAATAATTCAGATTGAATCATTTCAATTACTATGATTCGTTTTGGTGTGAAATGATTTGGATGTTGTTTTCCACAAAGTGCATTTTGATATTCCTTCATATTTAAATGAATGTTGTTTACAATGTGATTGTGTTTTATCATTTTCTTTATAAATACCAGTATCATGTCTAAATGAAAACAAACGAATATTTAATTGATTAAATAATCAAAATGAAAATTGCGGTTGTTTAATATTGAATTTCTTCATTCCTTTCATTCTTCCTTTTGATTCTAATGAAAATACAAATGATTGTGAATCATTTATAAAATCACCAATTTTATCAATTTTAGAATTAACATATCCTCCAAATTTATTTCCTTCTTCATCTTCAATAATAATTATTATATGTTCTTTATTCATTATTCTTTCTTCAAATACTGATTTATTAACATTCCAATCATCAACATCAGAATCAAATGTATATTTCCTACTTTTCTATTTGTCCATTCTTCTATTTGTTGAATTTCTTCTATTCCTCTCATTTTTGCAAATTCTCTTCTTCTTGTTTCTTTCTATTCAGACTTCCTAAATAATATTGATAATTCTTAGTAGTATCATCAATTGGTTGTTCTTGTTTATTAATTCTTCCATTTTAATTTAATTTGATGTTTATAAGTTCAAAATATTATTAAAATAGTTAAATACATTTTATTAACACATCAAATAAGAAAATGATTTAAATCATTCTTTCTCAACGTCATTTGTTTTTTGATTTTATAATAACATTACTAACACTAAGAAATTAGATACCACAAAAGTTCAATTCAATCTTTATTCACTGGATGAGCTAGAAGAGCTTGAAGACAAAGCCACTGGTTGATTTTTTTCTGGTTGAGAAGGATTATGTATAGAGTCATTTTGAGAGTTTTGTTGGAGAGGGTCTGTTTGTTGTTCTTCAGAGGGGACAGATTGTTCTTGAACACTAGAAGGGACAGAAGGGGTAGAATTAGAAGATATGTCACTTCCATTCATTTTCTTTTCTCCTTCAACATTAAGGGCATATCTAATGTCTTCACCCCAAGATTCTATGATAGTTAAGATATCAACAAATTTAGGTCTATCTTCTGGATTTTGAGACCAACATTTAGTTGTTAATTCCCAATAATTTTCTGGAATACCATCAGGTTTTTCTAATCTATTACCTTCAATAACAAATTGTGGAATCATCCATGGTTGATTAAATCTTTCATCTCCATCATATGCATTATGTTCTACATATGTTTCATATAATACAATACCATAAGCATATACATCAACTGGATATGAATAATCAGTAGAATTTTGAAGACATTCTGGTGCCATATAAGTAGGTGTTCCAATACCTTGTGATAATTCTTTAGCACTCAAATTTCTTTCAGAAATATTTCTACAAGTACCAAAATCAGTTAATTTAGCACAAACTGGTGAACGAGGATTTAATGAGAAAACTAATAAATTTTCACCTTTAACATCTCTATGAATAATTGAATTTTGATGAAGATAAGACAATGCAACAGCCATATCATCTAATATTTTGACTTTTAATTGGTAACTAATGACTTGTTTTCCCCAAATCTTACTTAATGATCCATATTCTGCAAATTCTGTAACAATAGCAATTTCTCCTTCGGTATATACTGCTCCAATCAATTCTACAACACAATTTTGTCTTAATTGAGTCATCATAGATACTTCATGATTAAATTCTTTTTCTTGTTCTTGTGTTAAATTTCTTGCTTTCATCTTTTTAATAGCAACTTCTCTTCCTCTATAAGTTCCTCTAAATACCATACCAAAAGCACCTTCTCCAATTGGTGGCATAATTGGTTTAAGTTCAGTATGGTCTAATTTCAATGATAAATCAGATTCAATAGTAATATTAAATTTAGCTGTTTCTTTATTTTGATCATCAACATCCATAGCAGAAATACCAATATTATCACTAACAGAAGCAGTACATAACATTTTAATCTTAAATGTAACTTGAATAGCAGTTCCTGGTTTTAATGTTGCACTTTTTGGATTAATTTCTAAATCATATCTATGAGATGGAGTGTAATGGAATTCAAAATAATATTCTTTCTTTGACATATTAGCTAAATTAACTGACTCTTCATACTCTTGGTCAACAATTGCTTTAGATTTAGCCAAATTAAATGTTAATTCCCATTTATCTGTTTTTAATGGGAATTTTTCATTATCTGCTTCAAGAAGAATTAACTCAAGATCTGATGATACGTGGAATGGTTTAATTGCTGCAGTTTCTGCTTTAACACTTCTTGATCTTCTCCACCAAATAATACCTATAAGGACAAGAAGAAGTATAACAATAATAATTACAGCTACTATTACTAATGGAATAATTAATGCCCAATTGGTTTTTGAACAAGACATTGATCCTGCATCTAACTTATATCCATCTTCACATGTAGCACATTTATCTCCTGAACAAGTAGCACAATGCTTTAATTCATTACATGGAGCACATTTACCATTTTTAACATATTCTTTATCACTAGGACATGATGTACAAATTGGCATTTGACTAGCTGAACTATATTGACAAGTCTCACATTCAGACGGACATAAACTACAATTATATGCTGATTCATCATCTAAATTAATCCAATATCCATCATTACAAGTTGTACAGCCATTAGCATCAGCTTGACATGTCATATTAATATCACTTTTTGGTCTACACAAACTTTCATTTTTATCATTATTAAAATCTTTTGGTAAGAAATAGTCGTTATTACATGACAAACATGAATTACTATTCTTACAAGTAGCACAAGACTTATGACAACTAATACATTGTTGTGAGCTACTTTCTGATGAAATGAAATACCCTGGTTTACATTCAGTACAATAACCCATTTCTGTTGAAACACAATTACCATCCATATACTCACATTCTGAGTGTTCTTCATCTAATTCATCACCACTAACTCTCTTAAGAGTATAATTCGTTGTACATGCAGTACAATGATTTGCTTTTCCTTCACATAATTTACAATGTTCAGCACATTCTTCACATCTTTGCTTTCCAGTTGGAACATAATAACCTCGTGTCTTCTGTCCTTCAGCACTTAAATCATTTTTACATTCTTTACATCCTGCTTGATCAGCTAAAGCACAATTATCATCTTTCTTAACACAAGCTGTATTATCAAAATAATAATCATCAGCACATGAAAGACAATGTGTAGCTTCACTAACACAACTTCCACATTCTGGACTACATTTTTCACATTCTAAATTAGAATTAAAGAAATAACCACGCATACATTGTAAACATCCATAAGTATCAGACCCTTCTTCACAAAATATTGCATCCTTCTTTGAACATTTTCCTTTATAAAGAACAAAGTCTTTTTCACATTGTGTACAATGATTTTGGTTATCATTGTTATCTTTATAACAAACTTTACAATGACTACTACATTCTACACAATTACCAGCTTCTAATCTATATCCATCATTACATCTTTCACAATGATCTTCTTTTAAATCAGCACAGTTATTAATAGAAATACATTTGTCTGGATTCTTTTCTGTTCCATCATTCTTTTCTAATAATTTATAATTATTACATTGATAACAATTATATTGGTCAGTACATAGTGCACAATTCTCCATACATTCAGTACAAACTTTATTTTGTATATCAAAATATTTTCCAGCTGGACATCTTCCACATGCCTCATCATTTTCCGATAATGAACAATCAACACATGACTTTTCATCAGTAGAAAGATAAAGTTGTGTACCATCCTCTTTTTTACCACATTGATAACAATGTGTAGAATTACAATAATTACATCCTTCCCTACATTTATCACATAAATTACCATTTAATCTATACCCTGCTTTACATCTAATACAAACACTACTATCACTAGCTTCACAATTTTCTAATGCATTGGCACTTTGACTACATACTAATGAAGGAATACCAGTTTCTGTATTATCTTGTAATTGAAGAAAACATCCTTCAGAACATTGTGTACAATGAAATTCTGAAATTTTATGTAAACATTCACAAGCCAAAGACTGAATAATAAATATTCCAATATATATGATAACTACCATTTATTTTTTAACAATATTTAATTTTAGTTTTTTTCTTAGTTTCACTGGTTCTTTTAATAAATTATTTTCTATTATTTTTTTTCCAGAAATTTTCATTAATCTTTCACCTTTGAATATTTACTATTTTTAATTCTTTTATCGATTTTGGAATTGTTTATTTTCTTTTCAATAAGTTCATTCATTGTATTTTTATTATTCTTTTTTATTACTCTAAAATTAAAAAACTATTTTTATGTTTTATATAACTAGATATTATTAAAGAAAAATCACTTATAAACGATGATGAAAATTACCATTTCATTGGTAAATCATTGTCTACAGAAACTGTTTTTTCCATTCTGAATTTAAATGGTGTTTCAAGGAATCTCCAAATACAATCCACCAATAAATTTAATCCAACTGCCATTGAAAATACATACAGAAGTCCAAAGATTTTCCAACTTAATAAGAAATCTAAGAATCTACTTTGCACTACATAAAAGTTTTTATAAATAAATGGTGTTTCCCAATTTATTGTAACACTATAATTTGTATCTTTGTTTTTACAAATTGAAGTAATTTTATCATATACTTCATTTTGAGCTTGAACTGTACCTGGAGAAAGTCTAATACCTTCTTCAATTGTAACTCTTAACATTGAATTAGTAGGTAATTTAGGTAATTTAGTAGTATTTTTTTCCCAACTTTTATAAGAAATTCTTTGAGTTGTTTTAAAAGTAGTTTTTGTAAGTAGTTTTGAATAATCAGTATCTTCTTCATCAATTTGTTGATATTCACCATTAGATTTTTTATTTAATATTTTACTTATATAATGATAAGATTCTCCATAAACATTTCCTTCTGGTTTTCCAGAGATATATCTATTCAAAATATCAGGGAGATTGTGATTGAAATTTCCATTCCATAATTCCATTAAAATACTATGTGCAGCAAATACTCTGTTATAAAAATCTGTGTCTCTATAAAAGATACGTGTTATAAATATTATAATTAATTCTAATAACAAAGCTGAAACAAAAATCCCTGATGATACAATAACTTCAAAATCATTTTTTTTACAAATAATTCTATCACACATAACAACTAATGATGCGAAAACAAAGGGTGATAAGAAAATATTGATAATTGGAATTCTTCTTCCAAGTCCAAGATTTACAGCAGCTAAACATAAAACAGCAAAAGGATATCCAATGGCAAGTCCATAAGTAACATGTTTTCTTCTTCCAGAATCACAATAATTAAATTCTTTTCTTTCTTTAGTAGATTCAGTTAAACAACTAATTTGAGATTGAGTTATTTCACAATTTGCTTGAATAGTCATTACCTCTTCTTTTCTTGTAATTTGTGTACACGAATCATCTGAATAGAAAGTTAATACTAATTGACCGTTATCAATTTGGTATTGCTCAGATGAACTTACAGATGTTATTTTACAGCCTAAGTTGTATGTTGTTATAATTGCAGAAGTTTGTAAAGCAAAAAGAATAAAAACAAGACTTGTCATAAGAATAAATGGATAAGAATCTTGTTTTTTAAGATTGTATTTCTATATTTCGAATTAAACCCTGTTAAATTTATCTCAAAAATGTCAAAGAAAAAAACAATTCATATCTTATTTTCTTTTATAAAATTTCTTCATCAGAAAAAATGAAGAATAAAAATCAATTTCATTATTTAATATAATATTAATTCGGTTTTCTGATTAAATTATATAAAAAAAAAGTTTTAAATACTATTCATAAATTTAAAGTATTTTAAAAGGACGTTAAAATATATAAAACAAAATTGCCTTATATATTATATTTTAATAATGAGTATTTTATAAACAAAATATTAAGAAGAAATTCAAAAAAAAAATATAATAATAACAGTAGTAAACCAACTAAAACTTTATAATCAAAAAAAATCTATAATTCATTAAAAGTATCAAGTACACTCTTTTCAACAGAGCAATCAATTTGTTTTTTATCAAGAAGTTGCCAAAATAAAGATTGTTTAGAATCTTGTGATAGTGAAGAAGGAGTTTTAATTCCTGATGACTGAGTTGAACCCATATCATCATCAGTTTCTTTCATAAATGATTTATATGGGTTATTAAACTCAACAACTTGACTAAAATGTTCTAGGATAGTGTATATATTAGGCCGTTTATTTTGATCAAAAACAAGCATTTCTTTAAGTAAAGATTTCATTCGTTTTGACATTTGGTAATCAGTTAAATCTAATTGTTTTACATCAGAAATGCAAAGTGGTGCAGAGAATGGTGGTGTTCCAATTGCAGTCTCAAACAATAAACATCCAAGTGCCCAGATATCACTTTTTCTACTAATTGGTTGATTTTCATATAATAATATCATTTCTGGAGATTGATATTCAGGCTTAACATTATTATTAATAAACTCTTTGATTATTTGATGATCGTTTGGCTTTCTATAATAAAATGTCTCTGATAGTTGAGCACTTCCAAAGTCACATAGTTTTACAGTATAATCTTCTGATAATAAAACATGTTCTTTTCTAAGGTTAAAATATGTAATAGATGGTTTCTGACTATGAAGAAAAGCAAGTGCACTTGCAATTCCATGAAATACTTCAATAATTGTTTCTTCTGGTATTGGTAAAGAGAAAGCATCATCTATAGTATAAGGACAATATTCAGAAAATAAAAGCATAGAATCAGTTAATTGAGTATATCCATAGTATTGAATGATATTTGGTGTTCTAGTACAAAGAGATAATAATGAAATTTCATCAGTAATTTTACCAATCATTTCAGATGTAGTAAGTTCAAATCTTTTACAAACTAAATTATGAGGAAGGGTAGATGATGAACTTTGTTCTGTCAAATAGGTCGTTGAATTCCTTCCTGTAGAAAGTATTTTCTTAATTAATAATTTTTCGTTTCCTAATTTCAACGTACTATTACTGTTTCCCATGTTCTCTAAATTATTGAAAAGAGTTCATTAGATAAACAATTTGATAAGGAATTTTGAAAGTAATACTACTTTTCAATATCTCTCATTTTTAATAAGTATAGCTTTATCATGACTTTATTTACTATATCTTTTGTTTCTCATGTAAAATTATCTATTTGTATGTATGTTGATTTACTTTTCTTACTAAACGGATTTTTCTTTGATTGTTTTTGTTATTTATCACAATAACTATTAAAAAGAAAAATCTTTTTATTCAGATGCCAAAGACAAGACATTCAAAAATCAAAACATGTGACCCTTTTTGTCCACAATCACGAAAAGATGCAGAAGTTAAATCTCACCAACCAGAAGACCTTCCATATAAAGAAGAAAATGATTTAAAAATTCCTCGTAAATTAAAAACAATGCAATATCTCCTCGAACATAATGGTAAACCAAATATCCAGTCTTCAGAAAAAAGAAGAAAAGAACTTGCAAAAATAACAGGTCAAATTAAAAAAACAGAGGCAAAAAAGATAAGGTCAGATGAATTTTCAATAAAAAGAAAACTTCAAAAAGAAGACAAAGAACTTGCTCGTTTATTAAAAGAAAAACATAGATTAGAAGAAATGCTTAAATAAATTGACTGACATTTTTTTTTCTGATTTGTTTTTTTTCTTCTTTGAAACAAACTTTAGTTAATACACAGATTGAGTTACATTAAAATATTCTTAAGTTAAACAATTTCCTTTATTTATAAGAAAATCCTACAGAAAAATTTCAAATGTTAACGCAAATTCCAGAAGTTGATTACCACATTCTTTGTTAATTCATTTACTAAAATATTTTTATACTTATTCATTCAAAATTTTTGAATGATTATTAAGAAATTTAATTCATAAACATTGAAATAACTAATCAAATATATTTTAGTATAACACTTCTGTTGTTCTTTTTCCATTTCAATGAACAATGTCACACACTTATTTTATGTTGTTCTAATATATTGTTTTATTTTAATAATCAAATCATTTTAAATATTTCGTTCATATAATTTATTGTTGTGTTTTTACAAATGCTAAGCTCAATTAATTCCATGCCAATTAAGGAAAGAATCATTTCTTTAATTTATTGTGGTTTAAATAATTATTTGAGACACTGAGATATTTTAAAAACAATAACAAAGAAATTAAGTATTGTGTTTTGTTCTTTTTTAATTTATATTCAATCAAAAACATCACTTTAATAAAAATGATAAAATTGATTTGTATGAGTGTGTATAATAATACAAAATTATAGTATTAACATAAACTAATATAGTACAAACAAATTGGAAATGGAGGTGATGTTATAGAGTTGAGAAGAGTGTTTTAATTGTTATTGAAAGGTTACTCACTTGTTTATTTCTTTTGAGAAATGGAGATAATAATTATTAAAAGGATATTTTCAATGAATGAGAGAAGAATAGAATGTGAAGAAAAGTATTTCAAATATGGAGAGGGATATGAGAAATGAAGGGATATAAATTCAAAAAGAAACAAAAAAGAAAACGATAGAGATGTTTCTGATTTAGTCCATATATATTAAATAACTTATAAAATATAGTTTGGATTTTTTACGATAAAAACAAATCAGAACAAAAATAGTGTTAATGCCATATCCAAATCAAAACAGCACTACTTAATATTAAATTATTTAAACAAACAATATGTTATCGTTAGAAATAGGTATGAACAGAAAAGAAAGAGAAGAAATGAACATATGAAGAAAAAGTGCAAGAATAAGAATTTGGAACAATGACACAAGAAGACGATACGAAGAGAGATAAAGTTAAGAACAAAAAGTAATAGTACAAAAGAATATAGAAATAGGAAGAGGTTTTAGAAAGAAAAGAAATAAAGAAAGATCATTTAAATCATAAAAATGAAGAAAAATTAGAAAAAGAAATGTCGCAAGAAAAAGTTTAAAACACAAATTGGAACATGAGAAGAATAACTTTAAAATAATATATAATGTCCGTTGTAACGAGAAACGTATATGTAGATAATAGAAACTATCAATCGAAAGTCAGGGCATTTTGTATTGCACTGTTAAATAGACATTGTGATGTTGAAGTGAAACAACGCAGAAATGTTAAAGTTCTCACACTGCCATTTTTCCAAATTA